ATAGTTAACCTATTCCATTGACTTTGATCGTAAATGTGATTCATAGTTAACCCATTCAATTGAATTTAATCATTGTATGTGATTCATATTAGATCGTTGTATGTGATTCATAGTTGACCCATTCCATTGATTTTGATTGTATATTGTGATTCATAGTTTACCCATTCCATTGGCTTTTTTCATTGAATGTGATTCATATTAGATTATTGAATTTGATTCGTAGTTAAATCATTCCCTTGGCTTTGATCATTGTACATGAGTCATAGTAGATCATTGTGTGATTCAATTTTGACACTTTCTATTGACTTTGATCATTGAATGTGATTCATAGATGACCCATTGTGTTGACTTTTATAATTGTATCTGATTCATAGATGACTCATTCCATTGGTTTTGATCATTGAATGTGATTCATAGTTGACCCATTTCATTGATTTTGATCATTATATTTGATTCATAGTTGAATCATTTCATTGCCTTTGATCATATAATGTAATTCATAGTTGATCCCTTCCATTGGATTTGATCATTGTATGTGATTTATATCAGATCATTCAACGTGATTCATAGTTGACCCATTCTATTGACTTTGATCGTCGAATGTGGTTCATAGTTTACCCATCCCATTGGATTTGTTCATTGAATGTGATTCATATTAGATCATTGTATGTGATTCATAGTTGACACATTCCATTGGCGTTGATCATTGTATGTGAGTCATAGTAGGTCATTGTATGTGATTCATATTTGACCATTTCCATTGACTTTGATCATTGAATGTGATTCATATTTAACCCATTCTATTGACTTTGACCATTGTATGTGATTCATAGTTGACTCATTCCATTGACTTTGATTGTAGAATGTGATTCATAGTTGACCCATTCCACTGACTTTGATCATTGTATGTGATTCATATTAGATTATTGTATATGATTCATAGTTGACCCATTCCATTGACTTTAATCGTAAAATGTAATTCATAGTTGACCCACTCCATTAGCTTTGATCATTAAATATGATTCATATTAGATCATTTCATGTGATTCATAGTTGACCCATTCCATTGGCTTTGATCTTTAAATGTTAGTCATAGTAGATCATTGTGTGTGATTCATTTTTGACCCTTTCCATTGACTTTGACCAATGAATGTGATTCATATTTGATACTTTCCATTGACTTTGATCATTTTATGTGATTCATAAATGACTGCTTCCATTTCCTTTGATCGTAGAATGTGATTCATAGTTGACCCATTCCATTGGCTTTGATCGTAAAATGTGATTCATAGTTGACCAATTCCATTGGCTTTGATAATTGAATGTGATTCATATTAGATCATTGTATATGATTCATAGTTGACCTATTCCATTGGCTTTGATCAATGTCTGTTAGTCATAGTAGATCATGCTATGTCATTCATATTTGATACTTTCCATTGACTTTGATCATTGAATGTGGTTCATAGTTGAACCATTCTATTGACTTTGATCATTGTATGTGATTCATAGTTTACCCATTCCATTGACTTTGATTATTGTATGTGACTCATATTAAATCATTGTATGTGATTCATAGTTAACACAATTCATTGACTTTGATCATTGAATGTGATTCATAGTAGATCATTGTATGTGATTCATATTTTATCCATTCCAATGACTTTGATTGTAGAATGTTATTCATAGTAGATCATTGTATGTGAGTCATAGTTAACCTATTCAATTGACTTTGTTCGTAGAATGTGATTCATAGTTGATCCATTCCATTGACTTTTATTATTGTATCTGATTCATAGTTGACCCATTCCATTGAATTTGATCACTGTATGTAAATCATATTAGATCTTTTTATGTGAGTCATAATTCACCCATTCTATTGACTTTGATCGTTGAATGAAATTCATAGTAGATCATTGTTTGTGATTCATATTTGACCCATTCCTTTGATTTTGATCGTAGAACGTGATTCATATTAGATCATTGTATATGAGTCATAATTGAACCATTCAATTGACTTTGATCGTAGAATGTGATTCATGGTTGACTCATTACATTGACTTTGATCATTGTATGTGATTCATAGTTGACCCATTCCATTGGCTTTAATAATTTAATGTGATTCATAGTTGACCCATATTGTTGAATTTGATCATTGTATGTGATTCATAGTTGACTCATTCCATTGACTTTTATCATTGTATGTGATTCATAGTATATCATTGTATGTTAGTAATAGTTGACTCATTCTATTGATTTTGATCATTGTACGTGATTCATAGTTAACCTATTCCGTTGACTTTGATCATAGAATGTGATTCATAATTGACTCATTCCATTAAATTTGATCATTGTATGTGATTTATATTAGATCATTGTATGTAATTCATATTTGACCCATTGCATTGACTTTGATTGTAGAATATGATTAATATTTGACCCATTCCATTGGCTTTGATCATTGAATGTGATTCATATTAGATCATTGTATTTGATTTGTGGTTGCTCCATTTCCTTGGCTTTGATCATTGTATGTGAGTCATAGTAGATCATTGTGTGATTCATTATTGACACTTTCCATTGACTTTGATCATTGAATGTGATTCATAGTTGACACATTCTGTTGACTCTGATAATTCTATATGATTCATAGTTGACTCATTACATTGGCTTTGATCATTGAATGTGATTCATAGTTGACTCATTTCATTGATTTTGATCATGATATGTGATTCATTGTTGACCCATTTCATTGCCTTTGATCAAAGAATGTAATTCATAGTAGACCCCTTCCATTGGCTTTGATAATTGTATGTGATTTATATTAGATCATTGAATGTGATTCACAGTTGACCCATTCTATTGACTTTGACTGTTGAATGTGGTTTATAATTGACCTATCCCATTGGCTTTGTTCATTGAATGTGATTCATATTAGATTATTGTATGTGATGCATAGTTGATCCATTCCATTGGCTTTGATCATTGTATGTGAGTCATAGTAGGTCATTGTATGTGATTCATATTTTACCATTTCCATTGACTTTGATCATTGAATGTGATTCATATTTGACTCATTCTATTGACTTTGACCATTGTATGTGATTCATAGTTGACCCATTCCATTGGTTTTGATCATTGAATGTGATTCATATTAGATCATTGTATGTGATTTATATTTGACTCATTCCATTGGCTTTGATTATTGAATATGATTCATAGTAGATCATTGTCTGTGATTCATAGTTGACCCATTCCATTGACTTTGATCATAGAATATGATTCATAGTTGAACCATTACATTTAATTAAATATAATTTTTTAATTTTAGTGAAAATTATAATTTTTAAAAAGGATAGACTAAAATTTAATTTTTGAATTTTAGAGAAAATTATTTTTTTTTTAAAAACAATAGACTTAAATATAATTTTTGAATTTTATTGAAAGTTATAATTTTTAAATACAATAGACTTAAATATAATTTTTGAATTTTAGAGAAAATTATAAAATTTTAATACAATAGACTTAAATATAATTTTTAAATTTTAGAGAAAAATATGATTTGAATTAAATATATTATATTAAAATCAAATAGATAATTTTAAAATTAAATAGACTCAAATAATAATCAAAAAATGGTCCAGTCAATTTTGATAAAGTTTTCCACTGTTTTAAATCATGACCACTTATTTATTATGGAAGGTTGTGATTTCACCTATATATATTAACCATTGATTTATATCAGGCGGATGTTAAATATATTATGTCAACGCATATGTTGCACCAATTTGAATTCAAATCCTTCATGCTTCTTCATCTTTTTTGTCACTTCATCTTTCGTGCTCTCTAACTCATATCAAAGTGAAAACTGAAAATTTTCTTTGGAGGGAATCCTCCCCCCAAATACTCGTACCAAATTTCAATGCATATTTTGCACACCTACAAAAGCTTCTTGTATCATATCTTTACAAACCCTTAATTCCTAATTTTTCGCATCCCTTCTTCACATTCGCCTTCGCCTTCAACATTCGTTCAATCATGTCTTCGACATTTGTTTCAAACTCCATGCCACTTATAATACCATAATGTGGTTGCAATAAAATAATAAGGTTGTCCATTACTTTATGCATAGAATTAGGTGATTGATTGTTGAATTATATTAAATTGTATTAGTGTTGATTTGACTCCACTGAACTTAAAAACTATCATGTTATGACACAAAAAATGTATATAGATGGAGGTATTCTACCTTATCCATGTCATACCACTAAAAATCACCTCCAACACATCACTTTTCATGCATGCTTAAATTATAGCTACTTCAATGCTCATTCAAGTACCACCATTGTTCGTTGGTTGTTATAGCCTACCGAAACACGAATTTGAATTTTCTGCAAGACTCATTGGATAAAATGGGTATACGCGTTGTACGTGCATTAGATGCAACACCGAATGTACCACTGGAATTACAGGTTGCAGTCCGTATATTGCAGGCATTAGTCTACTTGTGTTTCCAACTTCCATGCATGCATTCGTTGTCACATTAGCATCGCGAGATTTCAGTGGTTCTGAACATTTATTTTGCACAATACTTTCACCATTGCGACCTCTTTTTCCTTTCTTGTTCAGCTACAAAAAACAAATTATTATTTTGATATAGATAATAACACGTTATAATTAATACAACATATCTGACCCTGAATAAAAATAAATAAATACATTCACAACTTGGCGCGTTTTCCATACCAACATTTCATTCAGATGGCATGTTTTCTATACCCTATAAATTATACCATAGAAACTACTATGTTTATCAAAAGAGAAACAAATTCACTCAAATGAACATAATATAAGTTTTGAAATTACCGAACAATTCCTTGCATTATGAGTTCTACTATTGCATTTAGAACATCACCTAATAGCTTTTATGTCATTCTTTTTTTCTTTGGAGCACCTTTGCTCTTCACAGTATTTGAATCACCTACGACTGACTTCGATGCCTAAATAGGATCGTCTATACTGCAATACTTTTTTTGTAAATTCAGAATGTCATCCATTATTTCCCCATAAACACCTTCCTTTTTTGAACCTTCTTTGTAAAAAGTAGTAAATGCATAACAATATGCACTAAACCGAGCTTGCTCAATCATATTAGAATCAACATTACCATTACAATTCATGTTTAAATATTGAATTTTTGCATCCTTCATCCATCTGGTCAAAATCAAAGTGGTGGGAATGCGATCAACATGTTCTTCCTTCATGACATAAAACATATGAGAACATGGAATCCCACAAGAATCCCATAACTTACACTCATATTGAAGTGTGTCACCATCATACACAACCTCTTTTTCATAGTTTTCATGACAATATTTTGTAAGTTTATAAGTCTTAAATCCGTTGCGACCTAATTTTGCCTTAACAATCAATGATACAACCTTTGTTATTTCATCTTTGACTTCTTTGCAAATCTCTGCACTATAAATTTTCGTGGCATGGCTCTCAATCAAACCCAGGTGAGTAGCCATCACAGGTTTTGAAACTTTGATTTAAAATTGGCAACTAGTTCATTGTTTCTATAAGATCTCAAAGCCTGCTCAAAATTCTGCATAAATTCAAAAATGTAGTCTTTCTTCTTAACATAACTCTTGATGATTGCATTGACGGATTCACATTGAGATGTAGTTCTTATACGTCCAAAAAACTTCTCACGTAGATATGCAGTTGCCCATAGTGACTTGTTCTTGTATGTTTTTTCAACCCGAGGATTTCCTTCAAGTTTGTTTTCTTTAATTAGCTATGACCAAAACTCTTCAAATTGATCCTTTGTAAAATTAGAGTACAAGGCTTTTTGAAAACCTTGAAAAAATCCCGAGTTATTTACATTTTCACCTGCATTCTTATTCAAATGCCAAGCGCATAAACGACATGTCACATATGAAAACATCTATTTTATAGCTTCCCTCATAGCCCCATCTCCGTCTATTACAAATTCTTTGGGTATTTATCTTCCATACACTCTAAAAAACACTCCAACAACCACTTATACGTCTCTGTCATTTCATCTGACACCAATGCATCACCAAAAATAACTGTCTGAGAGTGGTGGTTACACCCTGAAAAGATAACCAATAGGTAGTTGTATTTGTTGTTCTTGAAAGTCGTGTCAAATGTAATCACATCTCCAAAACAAAAAAGCCAGATATACTGCTCCCATCAGCCCAAAAAAGAGACTTCACTCATCCATCACTGCTGACGACATATTTAACATATAGCATGGGATCTGTATATGAATTCACATTTAGATAATTTAAAGCAGAAACAACGTCACCATCTTTAATTGTAGCACACATTTTTATATAAAGATAATTATATAGATCCTTCTTTGTAAACCCAACATGATCATATTCACCCTTCTGAGAAATCATGTACCCCATTATATGACAAGTTCTAATTTCATGTGACTGGAGAATGTCAATCTGAGCTCTATCTGCTTCAGAAATTTCATGATAAATGGGGGTGTAAGTGCATAAACCTAATTGGGGTTAATTCATGGTTGTGTGCCTCTTCAAAAAACGACACTAAATATCTATCATTGTCGGCTTTGTAATGCACACTAAACCTAGTGGGACATTTAGTGTGGGTCGTAGGTTTGTCCTCTCTTTTCCTATCAAGTCTCCTAAAGTGTTTTATCTCTCTAAGACTGTGTTTATTGCATACAAATTGTCTCATTACATTTATTTTACCACCCTTAGTCCTTCTTGTCCTAACATTACTTTTCCTAATGGCAAACCCTTTACATTTACCATACTTAAAATAAAATCCATTATCTTCATCAATTGTACCGAATTCTATAGCACAAATTTCATCAGCAGTAATGGCATTAATAATCACCTTTCCATAACCTACAACTGCATCTAATTCAACAAAATCTCCGTTGTGACTATTACCATCTCCATCACCATCATTTGAACATTGGAACACACTTGACACCTATTTGCTGTCATCCTAAGCATGGTCCGATTCAACATCAGATGTATCACTATCATGGCATCAGACGTCATTGGAATCATAATGGTCGAAGTTTTCCATAGTAAACATGAATTAACACATTTGTTAACACACAAAACCCAACATAAAATGCAGTACCTAATTTCCTATTTAAATCAAGCATAAACCTTAGTTTATAAAATTTAAATCAAATTTAACACCAAATCCGAATTATCACAATTTTTTAACACAAAAAAACTCTAAATCAATTTCAATTCCTTATTTCTTAATTAAATCAAGGGATCTAATTCAAAGGTAACCACCAAATTTGAATATTCGAAATCATCATTCCCAACATAAATCACAGTACCTAATTTCCTATTCAAATCAAGCATAGACCTTAGTTCATAAAATTAAAATCAAATTTAACACCAAATATGAATTATCACAATTTTTAACACAACAAAACTCAACATCAATCTCAAATCCTTATTTCTTAATTAAATTAAGGGACCTGATTTAAAGGTAACCACTAAATTTGAAAATTTGAAATCATAAGATATTAAATCCATGTAAATAAAACAAATTCAGGCATAAACCCTAATTCCCAATTTGAAATCGAATTTAGCACTTGCATTTATACTTTATTTGAAATCAATTAATCTTAATCATTAATTTCAAACAAATATAACAAACATTTTCGAATTTACCTTAGCAACTGCGTGCAAAATACGATCACAATAAGATTTTTGGTCGTGTTTGTCATACCCCAATTTTTGACCTAAGATCCCACCCTCCATTTGTATCATTGCATAACAAGTGTTCACGAGTGGTTTGACCTATTTTTTGCCAATTTTTGAGTTAGATTTCAAAAATTTATAACTTTTTTAAATTTTGACATTTTTTAGTGGTTCTTTTTACATATGATTCTTCTTGACATCATCTATAATTTCTCTTTACAAGTCAAGAGCTGATTATGCTTTGAAAAGCCACGAAAAATAGAAACGTTAGAAGTCGTTTATGAATTTAGTGGAATTTCATTTTTATTAAGTTTTATTCATGATTTCATTTCCATTTAAAAAAATCACAAAAAAATGTACTTAGCATCATGTTATTTTTATTTACTATTTTTACCTCTTTACTAAAAAATTATCAAAAATATATTCTTTTATTAATTTAAATTTATATATTGGTATCATTTATTTCAAAAAAAATCTAGAAAAATTTATATATTTTCATTTATTTTAGTTCAAGAAAAAAATCATAAACAGTTAATTTAATATCTCTTTTATTTTCTATTTTTGTATTTATTATTATTACTAACACTTTTAGTTTTTCTTCTTCTTCTTCTTCTTATTATTATTATTATTATTATTATTATTATTATTATTATTATTATTATTATTATTATTATTATTATTATTATTATTATTATTATTATTATTATTATTATTACTTTGTTCTCTTTTTTTTTGTCAATAAAGAAAAGTTGAGACTACTATAATGTAGTATAAATACTTCACATGGATTGCCAACTTGTACTTATCAATGGTCAAGAATCATTCTCACACTTCATATGGATTGCCAACTTGAACTTATCAATGGCCAAGAACCATTCTCATAAAGTCACATGAATTGCTACATCAACACTCCCGCCTTATTTACCCTATAAATAAGACATTTCTTTCTTTCATTTGGAGGGACAATACCATAAATTATTCACTAAACTAAGACAAAACTCTCTTCTTCTTTTTTTCTCTTCATTTTCTTTCAAGTCATTTCTTCTTTTTATTGAATAGGTAGACTATTATACTTATTCTTTATTTAATTCTATTGTATTTTTACTCTTTATTTATTTATTTAGTACCATAATTATCACAATTTTAGAAGGAAACTTCATTGATTCAAAATCAAGAGTTGAAAAGTGTTCTTGAACCTCCAAAAGAAAAAGTGATTTATTGTTATTTAATTTTCATTTTTTTCTATAATTTTTTATTGTTTATTTACTTATTTTGAGCATGGATCTTTGGTCGTGAGATTGAGTTGATAAGCTTTCATTATTCATTTGTTTAATTTCATGAAAAATTGAGAAAGTTATGACATTTATATTATTTTTATTATAGACTTCATCTTATTCTTCTTTATCTATTTTATTTTTATTTTTATTTAGATCAATTTGGAAAGCACTTGAGCTTTTTTTAGTTCATCTAAGCTTGTCGGATATTTGATGAACTTTCATCATTTCCAATCTACCTCTAAATGGTCCTTTGATCATTCAAGGTACTTGAGATTGATGATAAGTTTGTCATAATGTATCTTCTTTGACTTTGTCTTGATCCTCCATGTTTGTTAATTGTACTACACGTATAAGAGAATGAACTTCAAAGTGTTATTTCTCTAACATGTATGAGTACATACATTCTATGCTTCATATGAAGTTTCACTTATCTCAACTCAGATTATTAACTTTATATTGTACTAACTTTAATTTAATATCATTTATATTCTCGCACTTCATATTTTCCTCTCTTTACTTTTATGCCATTTATCATCCATAGCATTTTATTTTCTTTACTTTATACATTTTTTATTTGCTCACTTGAGAATTTATCTTCTCTTTGCTCACTTAAACTTCTTATTTTCTTTTGCTTGTTATAAGCCACTTAATAAAGAAAAAAAATCTAAAATTGGTTCTTTAAATCCTTGGACTATGATTACTATTCATTTTTATCTAATACATGGTTCTTGTCCAGCCTTTATTTGATTATTATCTTTGTGTTTGAATCCAAGGAAAAGGATTGTCTCGTTGACCTTATGTCATTTTGAGTCTTTATATTTTGTCCCTCATATTTATTTCCCATTAGTTAAAATCTTTAAAACCCTATTTTCAAATTTACACCTTTTAAAGCCAAAACCTCGACATTAGATCGTTGCATTTTCAAAATGTCATATCCACACTCATTTAGCAAGAAAACCAATTTTAATTAAAAAAAAAACAGATAATTCAAAAGGTTCTTATAGGATACTATAGATACATAGGGTGCTAGTACCTTCCCTTTGTATAAGCAACCCCCAAAACTTCAATCTCTTTCAGATGTATTGTATTTTTACTTTTTAGTATTATTCATACTTTGCATATTTATGGGTTTTATTTCACACTTTTCCTTTTTCCCTTGGAAATAATAAAGCGTGGTGGCGACTCTTGCTTATTTGCGAGTCAAGTTCATTAATAGCTTGATCTCCAATTTTTACCGCTACAGAATTGGCAACTCTTCTGGGGAAAAAATTTCTAAGTGGGTTAAACCTAATTTGTTATATCTGTTTTTGTTATTATTTCTTGTTTGCTTATATATGTTATTTTGTAGTTTCTTTGGGTGTTGATTACAACAGACAAGTACTATACCTAGACTAAGTACACTTAATATAGGACGAGCGGTATAGTAATATTAACTTTGAGGGAGTAATCGGAAAGACATTGCTGCTCTCTACCTGGGAGCCAGAAAAGCTGAGAGCCATAGAACCCCTAACCCATCTTTTC